ACATTATGCCCCTTTTCACAAGATGTAATATAAATCTATGGTGTCCCCAGAATGTGTCTGTGAAATTTCAGCTCAAAATACCCCCCAGATCATTTATTATAGCTTTTCAAATTTGCCCCTTTTTGGGTGTGAGCAAAAACCCGCTGTTTTTGTCTGTGTTCCTTTAAATGCAAATGAGCTGCGGCTCTGCCTCCGTTCAGAAGAGGGCGGAGCCTTTACACAAGCTTCGGATACAATAACAAAACGCGTGAATAATCTCACTCATCCAAAATCTCAGAAATAGCCAGTAGTGGAGTGCAGCTTTACAGAGAGACTCAGAAGTCGTTGACGCACCTGGACGTTTCTGAATGGTTAGTGGATACATTTATGTAGTTGTTGTGGATTTGATTCATCTCATCAGTTTAACTTTTACAGTTCCCTGAGCTCTTTATAAAACAGCTGTGACATGTTTTGGTCAAATAGTGTTCTGTGCTCGTCTGTGCAGCAACGACAGAACAGTTTGCATGCTTTGCTCCAACTTTTGCCATTGCGTTAGAACTGGTCACTGTTGTCGCTTGTGAAAAGCAAATGGCGGCGCCGTGGGTGGAAATGTGCAGATTAAGGGGCGGTAATATTATAATAAGATCCTCTTACGTCAGAAGGGGAGCGAAATCTGATCTATTTATTTTTTGACATGCTTGCAGAGAAAGGCTTACCAAAACAAAGTTACTAGGTTTTCACTTTTCATGTTTTCTGGGTTGGTAGATAGTCTGGGTTTCCCCATACTGCCTTCCCGCAGCGCGATTTTATTCACGCTGAAAGGCAGTATGGATACCATGGACCAAATTTTCGCCTCATTTAGGGAACCAATCACAGAACGGGGAGGGAGCAGCAAGACGATGACGCGTCTATGCGACACACCGAAGCAGTTTGTTTATACCTATGGATCAAACATGGCAGTAGACGCGAAGTTACCTTTCGATGCAGCCTTACGGCCGTTTCACACATAGGTTTCACACCGCAAGCGTGAGCGGCATTTGAGCAGCACGTCAGCGTAACTACATCGTCACTGCAGCTGCAGCTGCAGACACGCGAGAGTATTCACACTGGAAGCGTTTGTAGCAGTGGCGGGCCGTGCATTTCACACCTAGGCCTTCTGTCCTACCTGAATTAATAACTTTTAATAGTGTAGCAGCGCAAAAGACTCTCTATAATTGTTGTTTTTATTTTGCACCGGCAGTTATTGGGTTAATGCGGTGAGTTTGAAAAAAGCCGGTAGAGAGAAACGAGCGCGTGAGTTCGGCTGGTGCGTTTGTGTACAGTTGTTCTTGCGTTCCGATTATAAGTTCAGAAACGGAGCCTCCCTTATCTTGTCGTTCAATGGTTACAATAGTCCTTTTTCAGACGTTACAATAGTATGGATGTTTGAAAAAAAATTACGTTTCGATCATACATTTAAAAGAAAAATTAAGAAAATAATCATATTCACCACGGGGAAAAAAGCATTACTCACCAAAACTACTGATTGTTTTTTACACAAAATCCATCCTTATTTCTTTCCTCAAGAAGACTTACTCTGTTGTACAGGTTATCTGTGCGTTTCAGTTCCAACAATGACGAGTCTAATGCTGAAAGTCGAGTCCCGTCATATTTCTAGCACAAGTTTTAATTCGCTTTAGAGAGTGTCTGCTCGACAGAAGCAGTGGACACAGTCACCGCATAACCTGACGATGTGTACCGCTACAGCTGTCCCATGCTCTCACACAGAGTTTTGAACGAAAGCAATGAGATCAGCGGGACTTTTGCCTTCAAAATCATTCGTGGCATAACTTACATTAGTCAGTTTTTACCCGGACAGATCGAGCAGTGTTCCGTGACTCTGCGTTAAGCTCAGGCTGAATAAGGGATTTTTTCCGGTAGGTTGGATCCTGCTGGGGGTCCAGGAGGGAAAGAAACATTAATTTGTGGGTTGAAAAACTATTAAATCTACAGAAATATATTTTAGTTTGCAGTTCGCTACAGATGCGGATAGCGCGCTCTGAGCATCCAATCAAAGAACGTGAAAATGCCGACGTTATTGTACGCCTGCTAGATGGCCCCGCTGCAGTCAAATCGAAATCTGATTGGCTGATTAAATCTGACTGCTTATCTGATTGGTTAAAGCAACGGTTTCATTGCCATTCATTGTAAGCTACAGGCACCCGCACTGTCGATTCTGAAGGCCTGAAGGCAGATTTCTTTGACCCTGGCAACGCATGATGGCTGAAATATGATTGGATAAAAGCGCTAAAATAAACATACACTACTGGAAGCAGCGCAACCAAGAGAAAAGCTATAAAATTAAGAGAATGAACTATTGGGAATAATTTAATACTCATTCATGGAAAATATTAAAGTGCAAGTCAGTGATTCTGATAGTGTTTAGGCCAGCAGAGAAGGCCTTGCTGGCCCTGACGGCCCACCACTGGTTTGTAGACAGTGTCACAGCAGCGGCTCCAAAGCTACATCGTTAGCCTCATAGCATAATTGCTTAAGTAATTTTGTGTTTTTTCTTGTTTTCCAAAGACATTGAAATATGACTTCGGCATTATATAAGCGAGCAATTCTTTACAAAGACAACTATACATTTGTTTTTAGAAGTTGGTCATTTTATAACATTGATAGTCTTGAAAGTTTGTAATGGGGAGGTGTACAACATTCGCATATAAGTTAAATGTAATACAACAAAACAACCCAGACAATGGCTCCAATCTATTAGTTTCAGTCATACTTTCGATGTTTACAAGATCGCAACTCCGCGGATAAAAAACAAAACACACAAATAAACCACACACTCGGGTTTGATTTGGGTTGTGCTAGCAGCTGTAGCTGTCTGTGTGTTAACGTTACATGAACTAAAAGAACGTTTATATATAATATTTTCTGGCTAGTTTACTTTAGTTTTTTTTTATATATATATATATAATACACAACTTTCACCCAAACTGAATAATTAAAAACAAGTTTTTACCGGGTAAATCTTCTATAAATATTTTAGAGTCTTTATTTTCTTTTATTTGCCTACTCAAGTTCTTGTTAAAACTCACTAGATATGCTAATTCTGTGCATTTTGGGCACTTTTTGTGTGAAATCACATTTATTTTTGTCCATCAAAAGTGTGCTTTCATTTTAATTTAGCGTGAGCAAAGCAAAAAAAAACAGATTCGAAACCCCCGCTTCACTGCTGCTCACGCGCCGCTCCTGCTCGACGCTCACGCGCTGCCTCCGGTGTGAATGCACTCATTGCTTAACATGCACGCCGAAAAAAAATACGCGCCGCTCACGCATGCGGTGTGAAACGGCCGCTAGATACACGCCATCGTGTAGGCTACACATACATCTCTGACCCATCGGCCATCGTCGTCTCCCTCGTCTAATTTCTGTCGCTCTACATACGTCATCTGGTATAATCGAAACGATTGGCTATGAGCTACGTACAGGCGCATTTGATAGACATTCGTAGCACCCAATAAACGGCTCTGGGCATTCGTAAACCACGCCTCAAATACGAGAAAATTAACATGTGGTTCCCAGACCCAAGTCTCAACGAGAATTGGGTCTGGCGTTAGCCAGGCTAGTTGGTAGATGCACCAGGGACCCAATTATAGCACTTACGCACGGAAAAAGTCCGATTTTCATGATATGTCCTCTTTAGCCGCTAATCTAAAAATCCATTTGAAATTCTGAGATTATTAGCCTTCTGGCTTGAAGTCACGATTAAACAGCTCTATTTTTATTACGAACTATAATTTTGACCCCCTATCAAGTTTGTGAAAAAGCACATAATAAAGAAAAACCCCTGCGTTTAATGGAAGGCGGCACTGGAAAAGGCAGAGAGATGATGTCCAGAGGGAACTGTGATCTGTCAATCACTGCTGTCTGTCTGCATCAGCTCCTGCTCAAAGGATATTTAGCATTGCTCCTGTGCCTTTGTTGAAGGGTTTAGGGCTGTCAGTGAACACATAACGCCTGTTATAGGCCAGACTCGCTGTCGCCATGGTAACCGGTTTATGGTCCTGATGAGAACTGAGTGATTTCAGCTTTCCTGTGATGAAACTCTGCTCTACTGTCCACAATATCAGATTATGCATTCCAGACCCTTTCTACAGCTCCAGACATTCATATATTACGAGCCTCAATCACACACTCGCAGATTCAATGTCGGACATGCCATGCTGACTTTAAGAGGGGTAAAATGCTCAAAGTGGCCTGTTAAAATGCCTGACTCTGACATCTCATCTGAAAATAAATTGCAAATGTGCAAACTTTTTTTGAGTACCTATAAATGCATAATAGAAATGTCCTAGACACATTTTATACCAAAATCAAAGGAAAGAACAAAGGAAGAATATACATACACATACACATACACACACGTAAAAATATGCCTACATACACATCAATGCATCCTACACTTTATTGGGATATACATACTTTGGGGGATTTTCACTAAGTTTTTCTGTATTATGACATTTTCCCCGAATTTATTATTGCCAAAATGTGAACAAATCTTCCGTATTACTCCTAAACAGTACTGGAAATCACCCTGCCCAGATTTAAAAAGAAAAATCTGCAATAAATAAATAAATAATAAGAAAATGATAAATGATGTGCTATATACTGTATAGTGTGTGTATATATATATATATATATATATATATATATATATATATATATATATATATATATAATAACTATTTACAATTGTTTTTTTTACAAGTGTGCATTACAATTTAAATAATACAAACTTTTTTTTTTTTTTTTAAGTGTGCTAAATTGCATTTTAAAAGTGCTTAAATGTCATGTAAATAATGATCAAATGTCAGTTATAATGCTTTTTCATAATGCAGTTGTGTTCATTTATCAGGTCTGTTGATCTTTTCTGTTGTTAGAACATTGGCAAGCGAATGTCCTGCTCTCAGTTCATCGGGAATCTGGAAGGACTAAACACTGGCAGTGATTTTCCTAAAGACCTCCTCAAGGTAATGCACTGTATATTGCATAAATATCTCTTGCTAAAGCTGCATGTTGAAACCGCATTGTTTGCATTATTGTGTTATTGATGGTAAATTGTCCACAGTGAAGTTGTTGGAGGATGTGCATGTTTAATAGATAGAGTGCGTGTGTGTGTGTGTGTGTGTGTGTATTGGCACAGGTTGATTGTGTAAACAGCATGTGACAGCAGTGCTATAGCGTTCAGCGCTGCTGTTTGTTATTTGAAGCAAGAGAGATTTGTGTCCCGGTGGGAAGAGATGACTCTTTAGTAGGTCATTTATTGGTTTATATTATTAGATTAGTGCTGTAATATCATTGGTAGGAAACTGGGGATGTTTTGCTTCCATTCATTAACCCTGCAGGCACATTCTGGAGCTAATCAGATGAGTTCTTGAGTTAATTCTAATGAGCTAAACTAGGGCTGGATTAGTTTGGGCTGTGTGTTATCTGGCAGGGAGAAGCTGCCGCTGGACTCTGAGGATGGTCACTTCATTTAAAGGATCATTTGAAGAGGGCAAGATGAAAAAAAAACTCATTTTGATTCAGTGAGATTCAACTATATGTGATGGTTTCTCATTTTACTAGCTTTTAAGAAAAGAAAAGGCAAATTAAAGGGTTAGTTCACCCAAAAATGAAAATTATGTCATTAATGACTCGTAAGCCCGTAAGACCTCCGTTCATCTTCGGGACACAGGAAAGTCCGATAGGTCACTTGCTTTGGTCCGGACCAAATCATTTTTTTTTTTTTTTTTGTACGGTTCGCTTTCACACTGCTCTTTTTGCAAGTGAACCAAAATTTGTAAACAAAACCACATGTGTGCTAAGGCCGTCCATTCATTGGACAAGGATTCTCAAGTAGGGAAATCAGGAAGTGCAAAAAAGGCTCAGCATGGAGATATTTCGTACTGCAATATTTGTTATTTTACTAATTTTGTGTTATTCTGTACAAACGCAATATGAAGAAACTGCGCAGAAGACGGATAAGGTATAAAGTTTTGATTCATAGAGAGGGGATATGTTCACACATTCAAATAATGAGATTCTTATTGTATATACTGCTAACAAGTGCTGTCAATGTTAACGCTTGCGATTTAAGTTTGTCCAGTTTAACGCAGCATCATCCTTGTATATCGTTACATTATATGAACTGCAAAAGCTTTTTTTGCATCTATGCGCGATTAGACTAAAGAGAACGCTCTGTATGTGAATGTCCTGATGCACACACTCATTCATTCATTCCATTCCAATGATGCACACACACGGCGCGCAGAAAGACGCGCAACAGTATCGTGTGGCCAGACAGCGCGCCGGAATTCTCTTTCGCACTTGAACAACAATAACACAAACCATTATGCCAAAATCTCCGACTACGGAAGCCTTTTAACTCAAAGGCGCAGTGCTTTCTTGCAATTGGGTCGGTTCATGTTCACACCGTAAACGAACCGTACCAGAGTTCGTTTGGAACCGGACCGAGACCACCTCTTCAGCTGGGTCTCGGTTCGGTTGTTTGGTCCGCACCCGAGTTCGATTGCTATATTCACACCTGCCCAAAAGGTCCGCACCAAGGGGGGAAACCAACTAGAGTTCGATTCAATCGAACCAAACAAGGCAGGTGTGAATACACCCTAAGATTTAGTCCGAGAGCTTTCTGTCCCTCCATTGAAAATGTGTGTACGGTATACTGTCCTTGTCCAGAAAGGAAATAAAGACATCATCAAAGTAGTCCATGTGACATCAGTGGGTTAGTTAGAGTGTTTTGAAGCATCGAAAATACATTTTGGTCCAAAAATAACAAAAACTACGACTTTATTCAGCATTGTATTGTCTTCCGGTTCTGTTGTGGATCCTAATATGTGAAAGAGAGCAGTAATGATTCCAATGTCATGTGACCTCATGAAGTTGTATGTTTTTATCTACCATCGTCCAGTATTTCGCATTTATTTATTTTTTACTTTTCGGGTTAAACATTTGTCAGTCAGACAAAATAATGAATCAAGAATGAGATGTTACTACTTATCACATTTGGGTGTATTTTTCACACAGGAAGTGAAAGGTCGTTTTGCAAAATGCATTCAGCAAATTTCATGCGGAACAGTTTTATACCACGCACATTATACAATACTCAGAAATAGAAAGAGAATTATGACAGTATGCTATTCTGAACAATAGTGGGTTAGTGTTGGTTCCAGTCTGGTTTGCACTGACCCATCCTTCAGTAATGGCCTCGTTTGGGAAGCGGCTTCACATTGGGACTGTAGAAAAGCCGAGAAAATCCTGTTTTTCATGGCGTGAGTGCTTGGAAATCTCCGTGCTCTCATAAAGCCACAGCAGTGAGGTTTATCTGAGGAGCTGCTTGTGTTTTAGTCGTCATCTTCTTGATGAAAACACTGACTCCTCGCTGGGATAGAAGCAGTTTGAAGAGCGATAGACGAGAGGAGATGGATATCGTTCATGCCAAGTGCTTTACAACAGTCTCTATAGCTTTTATGACGACCTCACTTTCTCTCTCCCTCTCTTTTAGTTTTCTTTCCCTCCGGCGATCCTTTTCTCTGTCCCTCGCAACATCAGTTCTCACATTCTTTCCTCCTACTCGTTCTCTTTCTCTCATTTAAACTCAACAGCTGAGCAGGGCAGCTTATATAAGCACATCTCACTCACACATTGTCATATAAAGCAAAGCTGTTATTGTGGGGTGCTAATTATTGCATGAACGGTTATTGTTTATTATAAAATTGATTGTTTTTGGCTCTGAAATCTGATTGGATGAGCAACTTTCAAAGACGACACACACACACACACCATTGATCACACATCAGAAAGATTATATTGATATGGCATGTTGCTTGCCACCATCGAAACTGTAAAAAAATTAACCATGGGTTCTTGTGGCTTGCTTTATTTATTATAAAATAAAATATTATAAATAAACTATATATATATATATATATATATATATATATATATATATATATATATGCTTATTATACGTGTGTTTGTATAATATTATTTTATGTATAATAAATTGTATAATTATAATATTTATGTTACAACTATAAAAATAAATATTATGTATGGTAATGTTATATTATTATGGAAGCTTGTTTCCGCCACTGAATAAAAAAATAAATAATAATAAATGCGACTTTATTTCTCACAATTCTGACTTCATATCTCGCAATTGTGAGATAAAAAGTCGCAATTGCGAGATATAAAGTCGCAATTATGAGAAATAGTCGCAATTGCGAGAAAAAAAGACTTTTTTTCTCACAATTGCGAGTTTATATCTTGAAATTCTGACATCTTTTCTCAGAATTGTGAGATATAAACTCGCAATTGCGAGTTATCAGGCCAATTCTAAGGGGGGAAAAAGACCGATTCAGATGAATTCTGACTTTACAACACGCAATTTCGACTTTATATCACGCAATTCGGACTTTATAACCTGCAATTGCGACTTTATATCAATAAATTCTGACTTTACAACACGCAATTTCGACTTTATATCACGCAATTCTGACTTTACAACACGCAATTTCGACTTTATATCACGCAATTCGGACTTTATAACACGCAATTGCGACTTTATTTCACGCAATTCTGACTTTTTTTCTCACAATTGCGAGTTTACATCTCGCAATTCTGACTTTATAACACATAATTGCGAGTTTATATCTTGAAATTCTGACATCTTTTCTCAGAATTGTGAGATATAAACTCGCAATTGCGAGTTATCAGGCCAATTCTAAGGGGGGAAAAAGACCGATTCAGATGAATTCTAACTTTACAACACGCAATTTCGACTTTATATCACGCAATTCGGACTTTATAACCTGCAATTGCGACTTTATATCAATAAATTCTGACTTTACAACACGCAATTTCGACTTTATATCACGCAATTCGGACTTTATAACCTGCAATTGCGACTTTATATCAATAAATTCTGACTTTACAACACGCAATTTCGACTTTATATCACGCAATTCTGACTTTACAACACGCAATTTCGACTTTATATCACGCAATTCGGACTTTATAATACGCAATTGCGACTTTATTTCACGCAATTCTGACTTTACAACACGCAATTGCGACTTTATATCTCTCTATTCTGACTTTATAACACACAATTGCGATTTTATATCACACAATTCTGACTTTATATCTCGCAATTGTGAGAAAAAAAGTCAGAATTGTGAGATAAAAAGTCGCAATTATCTTTTTTATTTTTCATTCTGTGGCGGAAACAAGCTTCCATATATTATAGTGAGTATATGTGTTTGTGTATGTGTGTGTATGTATCTGTGTGTGTATATATATATATATATATATATATATATATATATACACTCAGCTAAAGGATTATTAGGAACACCTGTTTAATTTCTCATTAGTGCAATTATCTAATCAACCAATCACATGGCAGTTGCTTCAATGCATTTAGGGGTGTGGTCCTGGTCAAGACAATCTCCTGAACTCCAAACTGAATGTCAGAATGGGAAAGAAAGGTGATTTAAGCAATTTTGAGCGTGGCATGGTTGTTGGTGTCAGACGGGCCGGTCTGAGTATTTCACAATCTGCTCAGTTACTGGGATTTTCACGCACAACCATTTCTAGGGTTTACAAAGAATGGTGTGAAAAGGGAAAAACATCCAGTATGCGGCAGTCCTGTGGGCGAAAATGCCTTGTTGATGCTAGAGGTCAGAGGAGAATGGGCCGACTGATTCAAGCTGATAGAAGAGCAACTTTGACTGAAATAACCACTCGTTACAACCGAGGTATGCAGCAAAGCATTTGTGAAGCCACAACACACACAACCTTGAGGCGGATGGGCTACAACAGCAGAAGACCCCACCGGGTACCACTCATCTCCACTACAAATAGGAAAAAGAGGCTACAATTTGCAAGAGCTCACCAAAATTCGACAGTTGAAGACTGGAAAAATGTTGCCTGGTCTGATGAGTCTCGATTTCTGTTGAGACATTCA